AAAAAAAAAAAAAAATTGCAATTACGAGACGTCGTGTTCGAGAGTAGCAATCAGCCTTATAAACAGATTACGGATCGAAGCAGCAGTTAGTATTAGTACTAATACATACCTGTGTGAGTTTTATTCAATTCCTAATTCCCCGCGAGGAGGTAAACGCGAAAACGGCTCTACTTTGCTGCAAACCGTTCTACACTGATTCGAGGCGCTTCGTGTAATGTTCTGCGGAGCACAACGAGGTGCATTCGTACGACAAGAGACAGAGACGAGAAGCAAGGAGGAAAGAGAACAAGAGATAGAGAAGTAGAGAGACTCTTTTCTTCTCACTCTGTTTTGTACGCTGGATGGAGAAGTGGGTACACGTCGACGCGATCGTTTCGACGATGAAGAGAATTGGTGGGGATGCTCGTCTTCTTGGTTATGTTCTGCAGCGCCGGCGCTGCATCGACCCATCCGCACCTTCCTACCAATGTGTATTCGCTTCAACCTACCTTCAAAGTACCTATCTATTTTTCCGTTTTTACGCTTCACGTTCATATAGATTGCTTCGTCTATCAACTTATCGAAGGCTATTTAACGACATACTAAAATTATGTAAACGCTCGCGTTTACGTATGCTATTTCAGTAAAACATTGCCGATACATGCCCCTACTTTCAAAAATGTTTCAAAATGTTATTGCGATTATCATATGTTCTTTCATTAAGAATAGGAAATAATGTTGAATATCACTGAAGAACCTATGTATCATCTATATATCATGATGTGCGAAACATACTTATCAGAAAATTTACTTAAAACATATATATATAAACATACACGTCCTTGCACATAAATATTCACGCTGAGGATCTATATTTAATATCAAGATTTAAATTAGTTCGATTGTGTTTAGTATTATTTACATCCGTAAATTTATATAGAAACTTACCTTTCGCTGATATACCATGCTGAATGAGGCGAGGACGAACTAGTTGGCGAATTTGTAGAATTACTACTTATTGTTGAATCCGGGGAGGTAACATTTTTTAGTGCACGTAACGTAGGATACTCTTTACACAAAGGCAAATGCCACGAAAATCTCGCTTTTATACGTGGACTATCGCAACTAGGAGTCGAAGACTGTGAACTCGTGACACTTAACGGATTTTTTGGACTCTTTAGAGCTGAAGAACTAAACACACGAACCAATTTGAGTCTCAATGAATTTTTTCTGCTTTTTATTACTTGATTATTAGTATCACCCAGTACTTTTTGTTCTTCGAAAGAATCGGAATTATTTTCCATTTTAACTTCAAAATTATCCGAGAGAACATAATTTCATGACTTATCGAATCGAAATGCGGTGCTTCTTACTGAAAGACTGGGCAAAGTCTTAACCAAGATATTATTTCCTGGCGTTTTTAACCGCATCCTTCCTTATTGCTATCAAAAAGTAAGACTAATCTACAATAATAAACTCTTAAATTGGATTTTAGTGTTTAAAATATTAAAATTAAATATTTTCAATTATTTAATATTTATTTTATTTCCATTCATCTGTTTTGAATAGAATTCTTAAATTTTTACTATTGATACCATCTCTTTCTTCGT